CCAGTTACAAACTGTATATACTGGATCAGCGTGGCCACTCATCAAATTTGAAAATCCAAGATGACCGCAGAAAAATTCCCAAGATTTCCAAGATATCAGCATTATGTATCAAAATAGCAGCAGAGACCCTAATTTATGTGAATGGGGCTCAACAAGTGCTCAATTAACATTTTACACATGTGCAATCTGTACTTTCGTATGTTCTCAATGCGCAAAAAAATAAAAAAAAATATCCCAATTAAAGGGAATGTACATCATTGGCTTTTGCTCTAATTTTCAGAAATAAACTATTTGAGGGGTTAGTATAATAGATCAAATATTGTTACACTGACATTTTTTAAGTTTTGTGTTCGAAAAGGTTGGAAAAACCAAGGAAAAACAAAAATGTTCAAGTAGTCTGGTTCCCTGACTCCACAAAAGATAAAATGGATCAATTATGGATGATGGAAAATTGTAAGGCAAGGGAACCAGTCTAGCTGGCCTGCACCGTTCATGAACATGTAACCAATAGCAAACAAAATTTGGACTGAAAAAATTGTAAATTTGGAGCAATAGTTGAAAATAGTTAGGTTTTTCCAACGTTGGTCAGCTGACCACCGTTGAAATGTATACAAAAATACCATTTTCTTGAGAATGACTTCACACCAGGTGCCATAATTGTACAAGATGCTTGAGACTGTCATTTACCAACATTCTAGTAAGGTATTTCGTAAAAACTTGGTAGTTTTATTTTTCGATGTTTGCATATGTTGTATATTCCCTTTAAGGCTCAGCGAAACGTTCCCAATCCCTGGTCTAAATTCCCAAGATCTTGGGAAGATTCACAAGGAGTGGCCACGCTGCACTGAATGAGGTTTTGGTTGCTAACCTGTCTTCTGGTAAGCAAATATTTTCATGCTTAGCACATTTCTGTGCTTAGCAGCTCCATGAAATTGGCTCAGCTGTTGAGCAGAAACAGGCCAAAACACTCTGCATACAACTCGTCGGTTGCGCCACAATGTGACGTATCGTGTGCACAAAGTCCATAGACAATCCGTCACTTCGCGGAGCACCCAACAGACTGCTTGTGATGCACAAATAGATTAATCTACAAATAGACCCAGGGCCCAAATTCTTAGAGCTGTTTAGCGGGAAATACTGCTTAAAACAAACTGATGTGCTGAGCAAAGATCAGCCAAGAAACCGCTTACTAACGCATTTATGAAACTGACAGAGACAGGTAAAAAGGATTTCCCTGCTACCATGCACATAGAAATAAAGAGATGTGATAGAGGATAAAAGAAGTGTGCGTTCAAAGCTTCATTTGCTCTTCACCACAGTGGCGTAAATCTGTGCTGGGGACTGGGGGTGGATGACTAAAATCAAACCATGCCCAGCCCTGGAAATTCGAACAGGTGGGGGGGGGGGGGGGGGGGGGGGGGTGGGGGGGGGGGGGGCAGGGGGGGGGGGGGGGGGGGCTGGGACACCACATGGCAATAGGGGCTGTTCATTATAAAGATTACATCTTATGTATACTTACGCCCCTTAACGTTACATGAAAACGGCGCGTCTAAAGCTTTGTATTTCTCTCCCTTTTCAGTACTATTGAATATATTTTGTTGTTGGGAAGTTCGAAAAAATACCTCAAAATCTGCCTTTTTTGTTTCTATCCCCAAAAAGTGTTGGGGGGATCCAATAGCCCATCCCCCTCCTTGGTCAAAAGTGGTGTTGATTTACCCCCCCCCCCCCCCACCCCCCCCCCACCCCCCCCCCCCCCCCCCCCCCCCCCCCCCCCCCCCCCCCCCCCCCCCCCCCCCCCCCCCCCCCCCCCCCCCCCCCCCCCCCCCCCCCCCCGCTCCCTGGGATTTACGCTGCTGCTTAAAAAGGCTTACTTATGCCACACCCTCCCCTTCGGTTTTTTTCCAGATGCCAAACTTTTGTCTCAGAAACTGTGAGGCAAAATGTGGGGAGCAATGTAAGATGAGGGAGAAAAGGGGGTTAATATGCCACAAATAACCAAGCTGGGCTTAAACTTGCAGATTTAACCCGAGAAAACTGCAGGCAGAAAAGGGAACAGGGAATCATGTGCCAGTCAAACACCATTGGACCACCCAAACAAAGAATACTATTTTGGCCAATAAAAAAGGACCAATGAAGGGGTCTTTGAGTAGTGAGCATGACCATTAACAACACCTTTCCCCCTCCGCTAAACTTGAAGATTTGTGTCATCCAAACAACCAGGGAAGTGCAATTGAAAACGGAGACATCCAATGGAATCCTGTATGTTGGCAAGACACTCAGAGACTGACAAGCGGTTACGACACACACTCCTGATCTTGCCATACACACTGCTCCCTGGGTCACAAGGAAACGGCATCCAGAAACCAAAGCCTCATCTGTTATTTGCATCACCGGACCAGCTCTCGATTCATTCATATCTCTTTTTCTCCACTATAACCCTCTTTTTTTACCACAAGAACAAGGAAAAGAGGAGCTGGGATGCTATTTAGACAATCTCCAAAGTGCCAGTCAGTTGTTTATTGCATTGTGATGGGGAATTAATTTGAATTGTACCCCCTTTCTCTCTCCTGTCATCTCACTGAGATGCTCTTCTGAAGGGCAACCAACGAGGCATGTGATTGCTGAAGGATAAGATGAGGGAAGGGGGACAGAAAGATGGGGGGGGGGGGGAATTTCATCATTTCCAGGGAGTGGATTTGAGGTTCAATATGGGTTATTCTATAAATTTGGGGTCCACTGTTTTCCTGTCCCTGTTACATCTGACATGAATGTTTTGTAAATTCTGGATGCACTCCTTAATGCCTTTTCCCCTTAAGAGTGATCGTGTAAAGCTAACAAACGATAGTTTTTAATGATACTTGAGCGGGAAATCAAAAAGTTAGAGGTAGCAGGGACAGGAAAAATGTGATTAGGTGGACCCTCAATGTCTAGAATGGTGCATAATGGAAGTGATGTTCTTATGCCGCAACTTTGTCCATGTTAAAGGGAATTTACATCATTGGCTTTTGCTGTAATTTTCATTCAGAAATGAACTGTTTGAGAGGTTAGTATAATAGATCAAACATTACACTTACATGTTTGAAGTTTTGTGTTCGCAAATGCTGGAAAAACCAAGAGAAACAAAATGTTCAAGTAGTCTGGTTCCCTGACTCCACTAAAGATAAAATGGATCAATCTATAGATGCCGGAAAATTGTACGGTATGGGAACCAGTTTAGCTGGCCTGCACCCTTTCATGAACATGTAACCAATAGCAAACCAAATTTGGACTGAAAAAAAAATGGTAAATTTGGAGCAGTAGTTGAAAAATATTTAGGTTACTATCCTCGCCTTCCACCGCTGTGGCCCGGGCTCGATTCCTGTCCTAGTGTAAATGTGGATTGGGTTTTCAGTCCCTGCCCGATTCTGTGGGTTTTCCCCAGAACATTCTCCTGGGGTTTTCCTCCCGCCTCTCAAACTGTAATTTCTTCTCATTGTCTGCTCTCTACATGTTTCTTAAGGCTTTCGAGGTACAATGCCTTGGGCACTTCTGATGAATCCTTGTGGTTTCATTACCGGAATAAACAAATAAATTAAAGAAAATGTCATTACCATGTAGGTTTCTAAGGTTTTCTGTAAGCATGCATTCAAGTTGTCAAAGCTTGCATGCTGGGGTGATGTCCACTTTTTCAACTAAATAATTCACAGGGACGAAATAGGGTGTCCCAGGAATCAACAGTAGTGGACAGGGGTGGAGTTTCAAAAAAGGGGGTGGGCGCCCTGCGGTATTATTCTGGACATACATGTACTGAATTTAAAAAACCTTCAGTTGAGGAAAGAGGTTTTAAGCAGTTAAGATCAGAAATATTAGAAACACAGCTTGGTTTAGGCTAGAGAGGGGTTGGGTTTCATTGAAATCAATGGTACATTTAGAATGAATCTTGTTAGTATAGCACATTTTAACCAACTATGGATTGAACTCAACAGATCCATTGTTTTTTTCTTTTTTGATACATGAATATGCATTCCTATTGGCTGAGTGAACTTGCATGCCAAAGCATGAATAATTTTGGAAGCCGTGTACATCTCTTGAGGCAAATCAATGGGATTGATAGTTTCTGAGATGGAATCTCACTACATGAGAAATGTCGGGGGACGATCAACTGGTTTTTATTATTCCATGAAATATGCAGAGAGCAAAAAAAAAAAAAAAAAAAAATTCCATTCAGTGGAGAGTAATGAAAATGTCTCCCCTTAATCGCCAAAATGGGAATAGAAATGAGAGTATTAGTATGAGTTGAGTATCCCGTTGATTGATTTTTTATTAGTCTGTGAAAATGGAAGGAATACAGCAGAAAAAAAATCATTTGGGAAAGGGTAATGAAATTTCTGGACAAAAAAAAAAGGCTTAATTGCGATCCGCCTTGGAATTTGCCCAAGACGTCCAGGCAAAAACTATTTTTTATTAATGCAAATTGCACATTACAAGTCATCAGCGATCTTTTTAGGGGATATTCTTTTCTTCTGTTTTTATTGTTAAAGTATAATTGCCATATTAAGACCTAGGTGATTATGGAACATGTATGCGACTCTCATTTCTAGAAATGGGACCATTCGAAAAGACAGTTTTGTTCCATTCAGACATTTTTTTTTAGGTATTGAGTGGATGTTGAACTCCTTGTTTTTGCAGACCGGAAACTGTTCATTTTCTAAGAACCATCAGTGGTCGTGAAGAACTCTTATTTTATTATAAAAGGCCATATAGCAATAAATCCTACAAAACAAGATTTGTGGTCACTATACTACTAAGGTTGACATCTATCTAAGTTTTATTTCTAATAAACTGTACTAATTTATGATCAACCTTGAAATCATGGGAGGATACAAGCAGGATGCTGAGAGTGTGCCCCCCCCTTGAACCCCCCCCCCCCCCAAACAACTCCACCCAATCAATAATGGGATCTGTAAATGAATGCTTAACATACACACACCTGTAATCCCAAGCCTCCTGTGCTCCAGTGAGGTCTCATCTGACTCGTGTCTCGGAGAAACTCAGTCACCACAAAGCCTCAAATTTCACCTCCTACAATCAAAACCAGGTAAAAATCAGGGATAAGTTGGCAATTAACAAAAAAATATCTGAAAATGGACAAAGTGGAATGCTTTCATATTACTATCCGAGCTTGTAATGTTTTTCTGTGCAGAGATATGCAAAGTTCTCAGATTCAAAAGCTCTGATTTCAGACAAAATTCTGAAAGATCTCGTCTTTGATAATAATTTTTAAAAAAAAAGAGACAAAAAGAACAACTATTTCATGTTAGGAGTCATTTTTAAAACCTAATTAAACATATCTCAAAGGAACAAAACTTGCTCATAAACACAATTTCTTTTGACTCAAACATTCAAAGGACATCTTACCTTCTCTTTCTCAATGCAGGGCTGTCTGTGGAGCAGCAACCTGCACTCAGCTTGGGGGAAAGATCTTCAATGCCCGGCCTGGCTTAACTGTGAACATGGTTGCTCTTTTCCCTGATTTCCCGTGTTCCCGGTATGTACAGGTAGAAAGGTCGTGCTTGCATCCATTAGGCATTAACTCTGCCAGGTGGCTCTGGCTTCTGAGGGGCAGGGGGCTCACTTTACCATTCCGCTCCTTTTTTTTCTCCCCTCTCCGTTTCCTTTCTCCATTTCTCTCTCCTCTCGGCAAACCCTGACAAGCTTGCAATCCATCTCTGTGTCAGTCTGTCTGTTGGGCTGTCTGTCAGTCTATCTGCTGTCAGTCTATCCGCTGTCTCTTTATGTGTCTCCCCCTCCCCCAATACTCTGTTTGACTTCAGACATTGGCTCTGTCTGTATTTTTACATGCCTTAAAATGCTGCATTCAAAAACGTACTACATGTACGTACAAAACATGGACTGTACACTGTTAAATGAGTGGATACAGAGAAAGGATAGAAAATGTCACTAAATTAAATATTGAAAATATGAAGAGCACTGATATGAATGTAGAAGTCTGCACGTGCACTGAGTATTGCATCTAATCCCTACCCGAAGCTTACTGAACCAGTGTCTGAACAACTGCCTCAAATTCTACATGGAAAAGCTCGAATTCTTTTCATTATCTCGCTTGTTAAGGCATTTTTGTCTAAGTGGATCAATCAAACTTTAGTTACTAGTAGCCGTCAATAGGAAATGCACACACACGCTTGGAAACAATCACAAATTTGAATGTTTTCACATGGTGCTTTCCTTGTCTATGAGGTCCATCAATGATCACATGATACATTTTGTGAATAAAGAGAAACAACCAGTTTTTTTCAGGCTTACTCCTGAAGAGTCCATGGTTGTCCCAAAAAATGAATTTAAAGAAATAAATAATAGGCTCCCAGACAAAAAGTTGTTTGCAAAATTACGTTCATTACAGAAAACAGAATGTGTATAATCTCCCTTTATCTTTTAAATTGTCACAAAAATGTAGGGAAGGCATTGTAATTTAAAGATTTTCTGGGGAGCAAGCCCCCCCCTCAGCTCTCTGAGCAGAGGTGTGTGCCTTCAGGATATCAGCTACTCCTTCTCCCAAATCTGGGGAAAATTCCAAAGTGGACATTAAAGTTTAACACTAAATTTCTGTATCCCTTATTCAATTGATTTAAGCAAAGGTTTCATTTCCACACATCACATACATGTAGGTACAAAGCAAAATGGGCTGCACTGCTCAAAATTGAAGGTTTTGTATGTAGTTTGCAACTATACACAACTGCGATATATGACTCGACTGCCACTTTCAACCCTGAGTCAACAGAGGGCACACTCCCTCAAGTGTCTTAACATGCCATCATCAGCGCCTAAGTGCAACATGAGTTCTATACATTGTTATCCTTTTTTTTTTGGCGTAGACCCAATTGACCCCGATATTAAAGATGAATCAACCCACCTGTCATGCGGGTCGCGGGGGAAAAATGACCTCTATGAGGGGGGTGTTTGCACTAACCAGGGGGGAAAATTTCCATATCCTGATCATCATCCTTAATCGGCCCTATCTGGAACCAAAATAGTCTGCCTGTCTCATCCCTGCGTCTGCTGTTCCATATTCTCCACAACAGGTGTGACCTATATTTCATATTACTCATTCATGCTGCTTTTTCTTTCTTTTTTGAATGCAGGAATTTAGCAAGGAAGCCAAGCTTAACTGAAATCATGTCCGAGGTGACGCAAAAGCGTTTTAGAGAAACGGGCCGCAGGTTACAACGTTTTTTCTCGGTGTCATTCAGTGGCTGAGCTGGGGAGACAATTCCACCGGACCCATGGCCAGGAGATCCTACTCACAATTGTAGGCACATCTGATAGGGAAATAAAAGTTGACAATCGGCCAACAGCAATTATCAACTATTTGCGGCACATGTATAACTAGTAATTCAGGCTTTTCTAAGACTTGTTGCTAAACACTTTTTTTCCAAGCTACACAACTACATGTACATGTATCATCAAATTTTACCATGAGAACTTAAGATATAAGTATGATCAATTAGTGGAACAAAATTGAGACTGAACTGATTCAACTGCGTCAAAGTTACTTTACTTTAATACAGCCCGTCAGAAAAGCATGTGAAATAGTATGGACTTTTCTTCCTATATTTAAACAAAACTACTTACAATAATGAAAATAAAACAAACAATAACTGCAGTGGTGTGCTCAGAGAAAAAAACTATTGAAATCAAGAGCTCCTCTAGGTTTTTGTCAATTATATTCAACATTTCATTAAAAAAAGATCTTTAAAATATCTGAAAATTACATTGAATTTTTATGTCCCCAACTGAGCTAAGCAGTGGAAGTATGTAGTGATAATGTTCATTCGAATTTAATTTCCTTTAAGACGGCGAGAGAAACCCATGTATATTCAACGTGGAAAATAGATAGCCAAAGCCAGACAAACTGAGAAACAGGTTTTTTTTCCAGAAAGAAATATGAGATGCAGAGAACTGGGTTAATTAAAGGGGGGGGGTTGAGTTGGTATGTACACATACGCTTTAACTAAGGAAGAAGCTCTTAGATGCCCGCGCCCAAGACACGAAGGCCTGCAATAAAATGAAGGCCAGAGTCAACATTGGCTATAACAGCAACATCATCTTCAACCAATACACTTTATTCATCATACGTGCTTGCGAACATCAATACCCCCCTTATAATGCTTAAAATTCAAAATAACTTGTCAAATTGACCCAATTTCGCCAGGTCACACAGGGGAGGGCGAGCTGACTCGATTTTGACATTTGCAACTAAATTTAGGCTGAGCAAAGTGGGGCGGGTTTCGGATTTCAAATATGGGTCAATTTGATGGGAAATTTTGATTTCAAATTTCATCTCCCGGACCGAAGAGCAGCCGGGGGTCGGGACATAACTGCATCTTAATGGGGGAACTGATACTGGGAGCTTCAGAGAATTCTTGGCCTGAATTTGTTTCAGAAAAAAAAATTAACTGGGCACAGAAAAATACAACAACTTGGAGTGGAAAAAAAATGTGGGAAGATGTTCGTCACTGGGGCTTCATCTTACACGGTTATTTGATAAACATTCCCCTGAGCTATAGTCACAAAAGCAAGGCGTATTGACCGAAATCTCTGAACCAACCCTTGCTCTCAAATTGACTTTCTTCGCCAAATTAGCGACCAATTTGGAGGCGGACAGGGGTCGCATCTTACCAAGAGAGGAGAAAAAAAAAAGATAACGGAGATGAGTAAAAACCGATGATATGAGAAGACATCGAGCAAAGAACGAGAGATTGAGGAAATAAAAAAAGGCATCACTTGAAAATGGGTCAAGTCAATGGATCACAGTTTAAATTTCAGATGAAATGAAAGAGCGCTGTTGATGATATGAAGTGGGCTCGCGATCAACTGATATGGTTTTGCCGGGGTAGAATAAATATTGATAATTTACCGTGCAGCTGTAGATCTTTGGGGCAGGTGGGGGGGCTTAAGGAGTGTCAGGATTCAAGATGATGCTGACATCTCTGACTTAATACCCCAACTCATCGTACATACTTGATACCATCAAACGCAGCTCACTTTTTTCCCCTGCCTCCTTCCCTCCCACCCTCCCTTTTCCCCTTTCCTCTCCGCTCGGTATACTTTATGACGTGAAATTTAAAGCAGGCGGGCTATCGGATTGACCCAAATTTTATGAAAACATTAAATGAAGGAGGCTGTTCTCTAACTTGGCGCGTACGTGCGTGACATATTGATGGGGGGAGACGGATCGGCACGGCACTGTGGGAATCGATTGGGTAAAGATAGCCGATCGGGGATTTATCAAGTGACGGTTTATTATCTTGAAATATGTGGCAATTATCGGACCAACATAAATGTTTCTTTATTTTCTGCACTGAAAGTGAGAATGAGGTTAAGAAGTTGTCTTGGACATGGATGGGAGTTAAACATTCCGTGTAAAAAAAAAAAAAAATCGTTAGAAAAAAAGGATCTACTGCCTCTTAAATGAGCAAGGCTTGAAACATACCAAGAAAGCGAACCTGGTCCTTGGAAGTACAAACTGAATGGCGTGCCCGACCAAAACAGCTAGTAAACCATGTACACTACATGTACATCATGAAATGACTAGACACACCCTGCTACTTGCTAATACAAGTTTCTGAAAATAAACTCAACCCAATTGACAATTCTGTTCATATCTTGCCAATCCATTCATCTATAATGTGCCATGGAAAAGGCAGCTAATGAAGTATTTAAAGAATATTAAAGAATGTTCAAGGTTCAAAACTGAAACTGGTCGGGAGAGATAATGCTGAGGACTTTGTTTGGAGGAGCAATTGCCCCCCCCCCCACAATCTTTTGATAAAAGAAGAGGCTGCTAGGTGGTTTCCTTTGTCCTGTTTGATCAACTAACTTTGATAATACGCAACAAATCAATGGAAAAAAAGGATGTTGTACTGCACTCTACAGGGTCAAAAACAAATTGACCGAATTACCCCAAAAAACCCAACATTTTAAAAATATGTGGCTCACTCCATTTTAAAAAATAACATAGGGATAAAGTACATGTTGTTGACTAGTAACTGTGAAAATTTCACACAATTCACATCCTCTATTCCCAAGTTATGTCTATTTTACTAAAAAGATCACAAAATTCAGCTGTCCACCACAGATCATTTACCATCCTACGAACTGATGAATACAATGAATCATAGACGTTTTCCCACCTTTATGAATGACGAAAACTTGCAAAGGATAACTTGCAAAAATCGCCGTCAATACTTCAGAAAAAAAAGGGTTGACTTGTTCCTCATATTCAAAACAGAAAATCTGACAGTAAAAATAATATTTCAGTCTTGACTTAACTGATTAAAATCTCATTTGTATTTGAATGCCTTTGTGTAATCTGTACTTCTCACTCAGCTCAATAGCTTCCAAATTTGGCATTCCATGGACAACTATAAAAATAGTTTCTTTTAGTAAAACATGCATTACTTCTGATAGCATGGATCAATTTCAGTAATTTTTTTTTCAGATGAGTGGAAGAACATGCTCTTTTAAGACATACTTCATTGGTGTATCCAATTTGATTGCTTGTTAAACAAGCACTGTTTCCAACTACATTTTGTCACTGTCTTACACATGTGTATCAACTCCCAAGCCCATCTCAGTTTTATTCAACAGCCCCAAAGTTATGTACCTTTTTCCTTCAAAATCAAACTTGTAAGCTGACAGACTTTCTGTTTTCAGCAAGAAACCGTAACCATGATAATGACACAAATGAATTAGGAGCCAATAGGCCTAGGGGTCAATTTGAACATGGCTACAGAAGAAATTATTGTGGTTAATGAAATGGAATTCTACAATCCGCGATGGAAAAACGAGAATACTATTGCAAATTAAATCTGACCATACCTAATCAAGGGAATACCATATCTGAAGGGCACGATTATTTGGCTGACCGGCAAATGTCAGAAAAATTGTTGCTGCTTCCGAGATTCTGCCCTCCGAACCTATCCTGCCCTTTATGGATTTCTCATATTGAAATATGTGTCTTCTTTAAAGTGAATTTAAAATTTTTGGGTAGTTTAGAAAGTCTTCAAAAAGACCCTTTTGTATGCAGTTAAAGGGAATATACAACGTTTGCTTTTGCTGTAATTTTTTAGAAATGGATGGATTTGGGGGTTAGTATTTTATGACAAATATTGTTGCACTAACTTGTTGGATGGTTTGGGTTCGTAGATGCTGGAAAAACCAAGAAAAACAATCATGTTCCCGTAGTCTGGTTCCCTGTCCCCTTAAGATGCAATGGAGCAATTAATAGACGTCGGGGAGTTGTAAGGTCAGGGAATCAATCTAGCTGGCTTGTACCCATTCATAGCTGTGTATTCGATTGCAAAGATATTGTGAACTAACAAAATATGATAAATGGGGGGCAGTATTTGAAAAAAGTCAGGTTTTTTCCAACGCTGGTTAGCCGAACAGCGTTGGAAATTGATGCAAAAATACCACTTTTCTTGAAAATGACCACAGCAGGGGTGCCACGATTTTACAGGTTGCTTTAGACTGTCATTCTTGATAACTTGGTAGTTTTGATTTTTGCAAATGTTGTATATTCCCTTTAATGAAACATAAAATCATGTAATTATAAAAATGTTTGACTTTCCGTAAACCTTCTCTTCCCTGGTATAAAATATATAAACATTTATTTGAAGAAAAAATAAATCAGTTTCAGAGAGATAAATCAATTACCAAAAAATAAATTTAAAAATAGGAAACAAAAAGCTCATGGGGGTCATTTGATACGGATTTGAACCTGTAAACAACCAATTTTTCAGTTTTCTCACAACGAGAAGTCGCCTATCATTTTCAACTGTTAGTAAGACAGTAAGAAAAGTATTAGAAAGCAATTAATACAATGAAACTGCAATGCACCATCCTTTATACATACTGTAGTACAAGTGTGACCAAACTGCAATGCTGGTATTCATGTCAAACTGGTAACCCAACATGAATACTAATGAACATAAACCAATGACACTAATACTCTCAGTTCTGGACCACATTTGCATATGAATACCCATGTGACCAGAAGGGGGTGTTGCCTGCAAATATGCAAATTCAGATTTAAATTTAACCAATCATAAAGCTTCACATGGAGCTACATGTACTGTCCACAAACCAAGAACCTTCCCACTTGTGGTTGATGAGATACTTCCTGTAAAAAAAGTTATTGATTTTTCACATTTGACCCTATTATGAGAAAGAAGGGGAAAAAAGAAAACATGAACAAAACAACAGGTGTTCACTGCTTTAGCTGTGATCCAAAATTCAAAAGAACTTGCAATTCTACTAAACGGAATCAAATCAAACAATTTAGATATCTTAGCATCAGTATTGCCATGGAAATAATACCCACCAAAAGATATCATCGATCTGTCCAGATAACAAGGTGATGATGTGACAGCATGAGCGAGGGAGATAAAAAAATGAAGGAAAAAAAAAAAACAGGAAAAAAGAGCAATAACGAGTAAGATATAATCCTGCCGAGCCGCTTTGAAGCACCTAGTGTCAAATTGACAGCACCATCTTCAACTACAGAGCCTCATCGTATTTTATATCATCAATACTCCTTGCCCGCGTGACTCACTAAACAGCGACTTGAATACCTGGCCTAGTTTCGGCCTCTCCAACATTCTGACATGGGACTTTAATAGCATCGGTCTTCTCGTATACTACCTTTTTCCTATTTTTTTTCTCGGCCACAGTTCTTCTTTCTTCAGGGAAAGTGGGCTGTGTTTTAAACATCACTGGTGGAGTGTAAGGAGAGAAATGTGGACAGCTAACAGAATAATTACTGTTGTCAATGAGGCCAATTTGTTTTGGAAGTAACAAATAACAAGGATGCAGTATATTACGTACATTTGTCTGGTTTGCACACACACACACACTCACACATGTGGTGAATCCACCAGTTGGAGTAAAGGCGACATTTGGCCAGATAATTTAATCTCAATTATCGCTTTGTTACAGACAGCAAGTGAGGAAGATCATTAAGTCGAAATATGCACAACGTTTGAGACACTCGCTGCATTAATTTGGAGTTCGCAATAAAAATTAATTAATGGGACAGG